AGGTCCCTTCCAACCCTACCAACTATGAAAGACCTCTGGCAATAAACAGGTTAGCACTGCATTTAATCCAGTCCTGGAGAAAAGGGATTTTGGAAAGTAAAATGGGTCAGTTCCAAGTGATAAGAAACTTAACACCTTAGCTATTTCAAAGATCTTGCTTAATCACTGAGATAGGACTATAACTTGACAGGAGGATAGCTTTTACTTCTCTCCTTGTCCTATTGATGCACCTCTGGGGCTTAAATAGGACAAGTCATTTGCTCCCAGATAATATCAAAATCCATTGCAAACCGTGTATCGGCTGTTATCACTGACGTCCATTTCCTTCCAAAGATTAAAGCTCCCTCTACTGGAATGCAAGCTGCTTCCTCTTCAAGCTTCACAAAGGTTTGTGTATCCAATATCTGCAGACAGTGATGGAGGGTAACACCACAAATTTGAGCATTTTGCACCAGATCCAAGAAAGTCCTGAGATTCCCAAGGTGGAACTTAGGCAGAATTTAGATCCCAAACTTGGGATCCTGAAAACCCCAGCTCACCTGCTGCCTGACCCTTGGAGTGCCTAACCTCCGTAGGTACCTCAGATTTTGACCACAAAGAGTCCCATGCCCCTAATGCCTTGCTTTTGCACACGACCAGACATGCTTTAGTCTTGAGACTGCTGAGCCACTCAGTGCCAGTGGCATCCACCATTTACTTTTAAAACACAAGAGTGGGGGAAGGAGGAGTGATGGTGCTACTACACTTTCATATAACAGCCTCATGGGTAGAGCAGTAAACCAAGACATAAGAAGTTCCTTCCTCTGCCTGAGGGGTTCAAACCCACCTCTCCAGCAAGTACCCCAACCACAGCACAAAAGGAAGTCTATACCAAAAAAGGGTAATCTGAAATCATTATCCCAGCAAGCCTTCTGGTGGAGGTAAAGCTTGCATCCACAAGACTGCCTACACTGTACACCATCTCGCATTTCTTTATATAGCCTTTGTCAACACACCAGAAACACTCTCTTAGGCAACAATAACATCTCTTGTTATGCTATTAGTTTTAATCTGTAACAATAGCAAAACAACATTCTGCATTTATTTACCATTAATCATTTTAATCACCAAGACATTTGTAGCTCTCAGTAACACTGTTTAAAAATGACTGCATCATAATAATAAAAGTTGAAGGTAGAAAAACACATTATTGAATCATCAAACTTGTCATCCTGTGG